GAGGGAGGCTGGTTTCGTAATATCCTCGTATTCATTTAATAGTTGAGTAATGCGTGGATTCGTCTCAATGTTAATAGTGCGGATTGTTTGCTGCGTCGATTTGATCAGGGTTGCGGGCGTTGTCAGCTCAGTTACCCTATCTATGAGTTTTCGACCAGCTATATCGACTAATAGCTTATAATGCTCTAAAAAAATCTGCTCCAATAATCGGTTGTGTTACATCGGCGATGACAAAGTTCCATACAAAGTTTCTTCGTAGCCCGAAGTTTAAAGAGAGTGTTTTTTTCACCATATGTCTTAATTTTTGTACCATTGGCGGCATAGAGCATACATTTAGTGGATGTTATTACACATATAAACATACCTCTTCAATCACTCTATCAATTGAAAAAAACCGCATCAGAATCCGTTGCGTAGTTTTCAAGATTAAAGCATACATAGGGATTTAAAGACAAAGAAAGTGAATTTGTTTCATACTATGTAGTGAGACTGCAAAGTAAGGAAAAAATTTAATTTGACTGATTCAGAACATAATTAATTACGTGTCTATATGATTAATGCTATTTAACGTGCATACCGATCTGCATATATTTTGTTTTACATTTTGAACGTTACCCAATGTATATTACGATAGCAGAATTGAAACAAGATTTTTAAAAAAGGTGTTCAAATTTGGAACAATCAAAAATAAAATGTTTTGTTTTTTTTTAACAAAAATGTCTTCCTACATCTAAATATGCCTGTTATTCCGTATGTAATAATTGTGTCTTTACAATTTATAGTTTTCAGGAAAATACCTTGACCTTGTCATGGCATAAACCTAATTTAAATAGTGAAACAAATAGATGAGTCCAAGTTCACGTCGTGACCTTGAATCGACTGACAACGCGGCGCACGCGCCTACCACCCAGTAACCTGTGCACGCGTCTTTAGCAACGTCGCTCATCGCTACCGACAAGACAACATTCAAATTAATATTGCAATATATAAATCACGTTGACAATGAACTATTTATGAAATATATTTTTCAAAAATATCAATTAAGTACAATTATATTACGCATCTAGACGTATAATATTAATTTATTTAATAGTTAAAATCTTAATCCTTTTTACCTTTTATATATTCAACAGCTAAATGTCAATATTTTGAATTAATCAAAAACTTTCGAAATGACTATTTTAATTCGCAAATTAGTTTAGCGGCGAGATATTGCAATAAAAACAACTATCAAAAGTATGGCGTAATGGTAATAGATGTCTAATAAACTATAAAATTTAAAATTTGAGACTCGAACACGTGCCTAGAACCAAACTGGAAACCGCATTCTATAACGAAGATAGTAGGTTGCACTTAGTTGATTACCACAGACTATCAAATACTACGATATTCATTTTTTTGTGATAACCCTGAATATATTGTGCCATATGCAAGAATCACCGGCCCTTTAGTTTCCCTTTTTTTCAAACCTAATAATGATACAATCCCTCAGCCTTTTTTCATCAAATTACTTCTCCCGCTCAGGGTCGGGCAGGAGGGAGTGTCAGACTCTTACTGACTAAAAGCCCCCCTGTTCCTTCTCCTGACCTGAGCCGAGGTCACGGTGCATCAGCCCTATAGGGCCCCGTCTGTAATGGTCTATTGGCTCTTTGAGGCGCGCGCGGAACGCTACGCGCCGTACACTCGGGTCTGGATCTGTTCGGGCGGGCAACTCTTACTCGCCGTCCGCAGACCCGCGCTTACGGTAGCCGGTGATCGTATCTCGAATCCCTCAACCCTTACGATCACGTAATATTAAAAAAAATACATGAAAGCAAAAGAAAATGAGGTTAGTATCAATCCTACACCATGTCGATTGAAAGTTAATTGTTACTGCTGTAATTGTCCACCGGAAATCTGCAATACTAAGCCTAGCATTTCATACAGCCGTTTTAGTAATTAATACTTACCCAGGTAATTAGTTCAAAACGAGTACTTGTATTTGTTACGTAAGTTTTCGTATAAAAATGTTGTTTTTTTATTTTGCGTAGCTATCTAAATAGTTTATGATGCGTTTTAATGGCTTAGATAAAATTTTAACATTCTTGCAAAATCTAGGTAACTAACTATAACTATTAATTAATCTAATAGATAATATCGCCCTGATTGAGTAATCCGAGTTTAGCTTGAAATTAAACAGATCATTAACTATTTTGAAAAATATTAAGAACCATAATTTTAATTAATTTTCTTATTGGTCGACTAGGTTGCATTTCTAGAGATAGGTTTTGGTAATGTACTTTTACCTTTAAATCTTGATAATCCTAGACTATAGAAGAACAATACATGCGCGAACGCCGGCGTTCGTTTGGGGTTTGCTGAATTAAGTAAATTTTATAATAGTAATACTAATATTTGGGCAAAATGGATAATGCCCGCTTGCTTATTCAAAAACCAATGACAAGTTTTAATTATTCAAGTTGCAATTCCAATTCTATTACGAAATATCGAATGCACGAAAAGACATTACAATTCTTTATTTGCTATTTGATAGATTTGTTTTTTGCTTCTGTGTGTGAAGTATTTAAAAATATATATTCAATTAACATAGATTGAAACTGTCGTTTACCAAATTGTTAAGGTCTGAGCGGAGGCCAGAAAAATGCGTGCAAAGAATATATTAAGTATATTAACAAAAACTTGTAATTTGTCACGCACGTGTAAATGAGAAAACGTGATACAAATACAGAAGCCGCTCATCTTTCTACCCTACATCATCATCAGGGCCACTGCTGAACAAAGGCCTCTTCTCATGCGGAGAAGGTTTGAGAACTATTCATCACGCCTGCTCAAGGCGGATTGGCGATTTCAAACTTATAATTAAAAATTATTATAAGTCCAGGTTCCTCGCGATGTTTTTCTTCACCGTATGTTTGTGGTGCCTAAATAAGCATAAAAGTAGTTAAGATAGTACATAAAACTTGGAAACAGTTACATTGGTACTTGCCAGGTTTCGAACTCATCCTCATGCACGAGAACGGGGCGCCTTGACCTCCGGGATAACAAGACATTCTACCTTTTTTCTGTGCTAATTATATTTTCAGCTTTATCTTTATATAAAAAAATGGATCGAAAAATGTGTTGGTAAGCGCATAACTCAACAACGCCTGGAACAATGTTGCTAATTCTTTTGTTGTTGTGTTTGTTATTGTCAGAAGGTTCTTATCAAATAAAATATTAGAAAAGTAGAGGGGAAGATAAGGAAAAAGTGACCCTTTGATATTACCCTAGTTTAAAATATAATAGACTTTTTGAGAGGGAAAGCGACTAGCGAGGGTGGGGGTGACTTCTCTCGCCCCCTTACTGATTAAAAACCACCTCGTTCCTCCTCACCAAGCCGAAACCACTCCACATTATTGTGCTCAACCCGCTACTTCGCACAGACTGTGCGCGTATATTTGTACCATGGAACGATTCGGTTCAATTCTTTTTAATTACTCAGCCATTACAATTTTTTTGCACAATCTACTTGCACCTAGACTGTCTTGGTCTAGTTTTTACGAACGCCACTGTTTGAGGTCGTTAGTTCTATTCAAGGTCGTGCATAACAGCATTAGATTATGCAAATGGCTATTAAATAATCTAGTTTTTAAACAAGTTGTATATTCTTTAAGAATTAACAAAAATAAGATAACTGTGAATATGGTGCTACCACATTTTTTTTTATCTGTGGACGGGCCGTGCTTCGGCACAAATGGGTCAGCCGTGGTGGTGGCCTCACAGATAATCAGCGTGAAACTAACGCTTTTTTGATCAAGGTTATCGGAGGCTATGTATCTCCTCCCTTCCTATTCCTAAACCCCAAATCCTAATTCACAAAACGCATAGCTAAAAAAAGTCCGGCAACTCCACGATGTAGCAGGTTTCCATGCGCGGCGCGAAATGCTGGCCATCAGACCATCCGTCTGCTCGCTTGTCAAGCTATCTTACAAAAAAAAATATTAAAAAGTGTTTTTAAATTCAAACGTATCGAATCGCGAGTCATAACCTACGCCGCTACGCGCAAAATAAAGGTCATTGCCCCGTTTCCACACGCAGTATTGGCCGGTTTGATATTAATGCAATAATTATATTTGTGCAATCATTCATACTTTGTGTGCAATGTTAGAATGCAGTTTATATAAGAACTTATAAATATTTATGTGTAACTAATTTCAATTCAATTAATCTAGCTTTATTCGTGTGGCCGTGTAGAACTAATGACAATGTCAAACTTTTGGTATAGTAACGATGCAATGGATATCATAACAAAGATAATATTTTTTTTTATGTGATAGGTAGGCAAACGAGCAGACGGATTACCTGATGGTAAGCAATCAGCGCCGCCCATGGACACCCGCAACAACAGAGGAGTTACGAATGCGTTGCTGACCTTTTTGGGGGTTAGGGATTAAGTAGATTTAGGGATTAGGGAGGGATTTGGTTAGGTTAGGTTAGTTAGGTTAATAACCTCATTCACACGGCGAAACACAAAACACAACGCTGTGGTTGTTTCACGCCGGTTTTCTGTGAGGCCGTGGTATCACTCCGGTCGAGCCGACCCATTTGTGCCGAAGCATGGCTCTCCCACATTCAAAGGTCGAGTAGCATACCGGTCATCTGATGGTAAGCAATCTCTTCCAGATTGTTTGGAAATTTGTATATAAACATAATAATGCATTTATGTTTAAAATAGGGACTAAGTTATATTTATTTCGTAAAGTCACCGTCTCTATTATTTCTATTGAAATCAATGACACGTAATTATTGTCATAGAAAATATTTGAAGTTTTAAGAAAAGAAATGTGTGTAATGTTTTGAATATGAAAATACAAATATAATAATAAAATATGCGATAAAGACATGACATATCGATATGACTGTAACACAAGAATGTCGTGTTTATCAACTTTATATGTAGTGAAGAGATATTCTAAAACTAACTTCTGAAAAAATACATTAACAATAAATTTCTTTTGCAGATCTCTCGACAATTTCGTAGAGACACCATTGGCAGATCCGCTAAAGTTGATCCCTTACATCAACAATGAGTTACCAACAGTTATATATACCTTTGGATACCGAGGAAGGGTAGATGGGCCAGCGACCACAGCAGTCCTGACCGCTTACATAAAAAAGAAGAAGAGGAATATCATTCTTCTGAATTGGCAAGAAGAGGCTGTAACTGGATTGTTCGGTATACCGATAGGATACGCTTTTAATGCCATCCCTAGTGCTAAAAAGGTAAGCTTACCATTTATAGGGTGACTTGTGTTTAGTGACTGATACTTAACCACGTGATTGTACTACTATTAACAAACAACTTTCCCAAAGTAACTATTTTTCTAAGGTCATTAGTTTTATTTTTATTACTATGTATAGCAAAATTACTAAAAGTTTAAAAGAGGTAGGAACAAGTACAAGAACAAGCGGAGCCTCGCCTCTAACAGCTGATCAGCAGGGCGACGCATGGCGGGCGCATGGCGGGCGCACGATTTTTTTTATTCCTAGAAATAAATATGTATAAAATTAAGTAATTAGTATCGAAAAATAGTTAATTTGAGAAAGTTGTTTATCATCATGAATGCGGTGACGTGTTTAAATATCGGTCACTACGTATATTATCTAAGATTTTATTAAGTCTGAGGAAAGGTCTTGTATTGTCTAAAAGGAAAGCCTAAGTTCATAGCAATCATATCGTTTTTGAATTCCTTCCTTCCTTCGTTTTTTTTTTGTGAGGGGAAAATCATCAATTACCTTCTCACTCCTAGGGTTGGGCGGGAAGGAGTGTCAGACTTTTACTGACTAAAAACCCCTCCATTCCTCCTCTGGGCCGAGGCCTCGGTGACTCATTACGCTTATCCCGCAACCCTGGCTAAACTTCAGCCCTACAGGGCCCGGTCTTTGGTTGTCTATTAGCAATAGTAAGTACCTAACTATTGTGAGACATACTTTATTTACGTTACGTGAGTAACGACTTACTCAAGTGAACTAACTGAGAAAAATAAATTATAAGCAAATAATTTTATACATACTTACTTAATTAAAGCTCGTAACTAGTTTCAAGTCACAAAGGGATACCTTATTCATAGATGTATATATGTACATATAAATAAATGTTGTTTTATCTTTTCAATTAAGTGCAAACAACGAAAAATATCAATATACATATATCAATGGAATGTGTAGGTACAGAATAAATTAAAGAATAACTTTTTTAAAGTTATTTGAACCTTAGAACAAAAGAATTCGTTTTATGATAATGAATGACGTTCTGACTCTTTGTCATTCGAGCTGCCTTTGTTTACTTTCTTTATATGTAAAACATATTATGCAATCGTGGTTGTAGGCTGTGCTCTGCATACTAAGCCATGACAAAGACAAATGTATGACATGCATCGATATTTCGTAGCTTAATTAATATTTAGACGGTGTCATGGACTACACAAGATGGATACCTAACAATGGTGTGTAACTTACATACCTACATTTTAATCCTGATCGGGTAGAAAAATGTTCACTCTTATAACACGCAAGTATTCGCCGTTTGTAAGGGCAGTGCAATAAGAACGAAGTTAGGTATTGGCAATCCGCCATTTATGGAGATCTGGTTCTAGTAAAATCAATATCTACTTTTGCCGGTTGAAAACCGAACTAAAATATGCTTAGTGTTGGTACGCAGAGTACTTTGAAATTACATTTGCTTAGATTTTAAGAATTACAAGAATAAACTACAGTCTACATCTACATGATATAAGACCCAGTACTTCCTGGCCTATATTAACGATGTCGCGACTTCGAAATCTTGAGCGAAACCTTGTAGTATATTATAAAGCTGAAGAGTTTGTTTGAAAGCGCTAATCTCCGGAACTACTAGTTCGAATTAAACAATATTTTTTGTGATGGATAGTCCGATTCGCGCGGAATGCTATAGGATATAAAATAACAAACTTAGAAATGTGGGAGAGCCATGCTTCGGCACGAATGGGTCGGCTCGACCGGAGTGATACCACGGCCTCACTGAAAACCGACGTGAAACAACCACAGCGTTGTGTTTCGCCGTGTGAGTGAGGTTACCGGAGGCCCAATCCTTCCCCACTCGCAATCCCTCCTCAATCCCTAAATTTCCAAATCCCTAATCCCTAAAAGGTCGGCAACGCACTCGTAACTCCTCCGTTGCGGGTGTCTATGGGCGGCGCTGATTACTTACCATCAGGTAATCCGTCTGCTCGTTTGCCGATCTATTACATAAAAAAAAATGTATGAATGAGTACTGTGAACTTTAAAAATCAAACAACAGCAAAAATTACTTTGTCTGACTAGAATATCCAATCGGACTCCTTGCTTAGCTACTGGCTTTTAGCTGTATCAAAACTACCTACTCCAAGAGTTTAAACATCAACCAATCACCATGTATAACTTTAAAGCTTAGTTCTAAAATCCTTTTTCTCCAATCCAGGTTGGCCGAGAACTGGGAGACGCTATATTAGAGTTAACGCAGGCTGGAGTGGACATATCAGACATCCACCTGGTGGCGCACTCTCTTGGCGCCCACATCATGGGATATGCTGGGAAAGTGACCAGAGAACACGGCTATGTGATCCCTAGGTAAGTTGATCGGCTGATTCAGCTGACTGAAAAACCTGTGACCTATTATTTATTGAAGTAGGTTATATCGAATGAAAAATTCTGATAAAAGGAGCTATAAAAGGAACTAAATCTTCTATTTTCCATTCATAAATTCATCGCATCTTTTTCTCATTGTTTACTTCTAAAAAGGTTTGTGTTCAAATTACGCCAACTTCCTCGATTTCTTTATCCATAGTAAAAGTTACGAAAAAAGCTTGTCTTAACCATCTTCCCCTTTTGGTTAATATTTATCTTATATTACTTATTTATTTGAAACTAACTAACTGCCCTGCCCTTGCTTCGCTCGGGTTCATCTATCACGAAAGGGTCATGTCCTCTCTACTTTTCTCATATATTTTTTGATAAGAACCTTCTCCTAACTATAACAAATATAACAAAAAAAGAATTGGCAAAATTGGTCCAGGCATTGTTGAGTTACGCGCTTAGCAGCACATGTTAATAAAAAAACACAAAGCGATGTACAATATCATAGAATACGTGCTACAAATTCATACTGTTAGTAAGTCGCTACGTATTCAATAGATGTATTGACCTCTACTCTATCTATAAGGATATCAAGAATAATGGGTCATAATGATTATCCTCTATTTGTTTCCATTGTACTATACTGCCTATACTAAGGATTACGTACTCACAGAAGTGTGAAAGAGCAATGTTTCGGCACGAATGGGTCGGCTCGACCGTTGTGATACCATGGCCTCACAAAAAACAAGCACGAAACAACCATAGCGTTGTGTTTCGCCGTGTGACTGTGGAGTTGCCGGAGGGCCAACCTTTTTTCCCTCAATCCCTAGATCTCCGAAACCGAACTCCAGAGGGAGGTGGCCAGTGTGAGCAATGTTACTCTTCTCCAGTCTTCAAATTCTTACCTATAAGCCGTCTGCTCGTTTTCGGCCTTTTACATAAAAAAGGTAGTCTTGTTTAATCTGACACGGGCTTGTTTCATCTTGTCTTAATCTGATGCCGAATTCTGACAAATCAAAAATATATCATAATCTCTATCATTACAGAATCACAGGATTAGATCCCCCTGGTACTCTGTTCGAAGGCGCGTTTGCGATACACAGCGGCCTTGACCGCACGTGTGCCAAGTTCGTGGACATCGTCCATACAGACCTCGGGAGCTATGGGTCCACCACATCCCGTGGTACTATTGACATCTGGCCCAACTACACTGGAGAGAATAGCAAGCAGCCGGGCTGTCCAGATGGAATCTTCGAATTATTCAGCCGTGAAGGTAAGTAGAAATTCCGTTTAGTTTTCAATCAGCGTTTGTGGCAATGAGTATTACAAAAAATGCTATGCCCATTCCATCCTCAAAAGGAGTTATTACCGGACCCGCACCGCGTCGTGCAGTTCGTCATACATTGCTCATTATGTTCATTTGTGTCTTTGCGCGGGTGTTGAGGCTTCCCTCTCCTACAATGTGGACAAACGCGTGTACGTTAACAAGGGCTTGTTTTTGGGGATAAATAATCAAGTGACTTCATCCGCCCATGGTAGGGTGACAGGTGGTATCACTCTTACTGACTAAAAGCCATCCCGTTTCTTCTATTGCTCCAGGCCAGGCCCGCGGTTTAATATAGCTGAGCCGATTGACACTGAAAGTTACACAAATTATAAAAATTTAGTGTTGTATTAGTTATTCCAAAAATGTCGCTTTGAGACCATATCCCCGCCAATCCGATTTTTGTTCCGTGTTTGTTTTGAATTTGTTTGAATACGTTTGTACTTTTGAAGTTCGTACTGACACAGGAGAAAATCCAAGTGTTTGAACCTTTTAAGGACGACAAGCACGCTGATAAATAAGGAATGTATACACTTATCTGAACTTTCTCATCCGACCCTATAAACAACCGGATGCGTTATCATGCAGGAAGAGCACTTGATGAAACAATCATATGTGTGTTGAATTATGTACGTATTTATTTCCTATAATGTATGTTAAAATAAACAACATACAAACGCACCATATAGAGGATGATGAATACTAATGAAATATTAATCTACAACTTAGGTATTTTTTTTTCCTACTTCTTTAACTTGCATATCAATACCAGGTAGTACCATGAATAGGTACGCAAGATACAATTTAATACATATAAATATGTACTACACAACACGTATATATATGTCATCCAATGACGATTCCTTCAATACAATATTAAACATCATTGCGTTGTCCTAAGTGTGAAGGTGGTGATTCAAGTATTGATTAATCCGATTAAGGGCTGATTTTTTAATGGTTAGATAAAAGTTACCTAGGAAATAATTAGGTATGATGCAGTCGCATCAGAATGTTTGTATAAGACAGTGACAGATACAATTTTATTCCTCAGAAAATATTTATCTGATAATTGAAAAATCAGCCCTAAAAGACAAAATGTCCTCGACTAATTGACTACCTACTTTTCTTACCCAAAAATAAATTGTTTGGAATTGTGTCATTCATGATATGAATGAGATATACTTAATTTTGTTTTTTAATATAATTTTTTTGTCTTAGTTTTAAGAAATAATTTATGTTATTAGACGCTATAAAAAAGTGACGTACCTAAAAACACACACGGTTCCGTATAAAATTCATAGAAAACAAAATTTTGACATGTCAAGAAACTCACATGAAATCTAGAGTCAAAAAGGCGGAAAAGTTCCTTCTTAAATGACTCGATCGATCTACGCGACGTAGAAAACAGAACAAAAGAAATAATTACCATAAGTAGGTACCTACCTAGCTAAACATAAACATATCATGACTTGGCAAGCTACTAGCATGTGGAATCTGTAGGAAGTTAGTTTTTACATAAGTAGGTGCAGGTATAGCTACCTACATATTCTATAGCGTACTTATTGTATAGGCAGGTATATTATTGAACTTAAGGAAGTCAATTTGATTGACAGCACAGCTAGACAACCGACATTTTACTTGAAGTTGATCCTATTGCCGCACGGATCAACTCTTTGTGTTATCCACAAATTGTTGATTTGCGGATCAGGAATGTATATGTAAGTAAATAGTCGGTTTGTAACACATCCACGAAACAGGAGAAAATCCTGCATAGGGCAACGTTTTCGAAAAAACCTAGTACCTAGTTTTAGTTCGGAAATAGTTTTGGAATCCATTTAATTAGATATGTTATTTTTAAATGATTTTACTTTTTGGTAGCAGCTAGAAAAACCACCCTTCCGCAATAGTTAAAAGTACAAAATAAAAAACTAGAACTTATGTAAAAAATAAAGGTATATCGTAAGTATTTCAATCAACACTTCTTATTCGTGTCAACTGCGAGATCAATGAACGGTCTTACAATTAACCTACTAGACTACACTTATACTAATTAGTTAATTACCCAAATAAGGACGAAAGTACTTATGTGTCGACATCTTTATCTCTAATTAGCTCAGCTTTAAAAATATGAAATTACTTCCTTAGTGTACTTACATACTTTAATGTCATTTACTTTTGAGTTATTCGCCAATAAAAAACCATGGACAAACGACCATTGTCATAGTACAATTTTAATTGTTGTCCCATTTAATTCGGCTATAAAATGTTATCTAAACGTCAATTTCTTATCACATTCTTAAAAAGAGGTCGTTGTAGCTGCCTACATAGTGGCGATCAGGGTTACCTAATTAAAAAATGCGTGTTTTTATTTCGATTGCCGTAGATGTTTAATAGTTTTGCAAGCCCTCGCTTGTGGGTCATAAATATTCAACGCAATCCTTCCATCATGTAGGACCTACTTATTGCCCTAATACGAACTAATTTACGACTAATTAAAAAATGTTAGAAAAACTAGAATGTCAATTGTTTTATCTAACGTTATCTTCATGGGCATTTTATGCAAATAAGAATGTTTATACTTACATGAATATTTGGGTCAAAAGCGCTTTTAGATAAAACTGAAATGCTACATGAGATACGGTTAAAAGAGGTTGCGGGTACATATGCGCAAAGAGTATCGTGGAAGACTCAGAGCGGGAGAAATAATCGGATAATTTTCCACTTTAAAAAAAAGATACACTCTTATGAATCGGAGTCGCCTCGGCGGAGTGATTCCACGGCCTTACAAAAAAGCGGCGTGAAACAACTAAATGTTGCCCCACACTAGGATTTTCTCCTGTGTCGTGAGTGCGTTTACAAACATACAATTTCACATACATATTACACCCAGACCCGCAACAACAATTTGTGGATCACACAAAGAGTAGTTCCGTGTGAGAATCGAAACCGCGACACGTTGCGCGGCAGCCAGTTGCCCAGCCACCGCGCCAACCGTGCTGTCATTATATCCAAAACCCTTATCCCCAAAAGGCCGGCAACGAACTCGTAACTTCTTTAGTGTTGCTGGTGTCCAAGGGTGGCGCCGATTGTTTACCATAAGCGATCAAAACGATTGCCGACCTGTCTCATAAAAAAAAGAATAGTACTGTGCAGGTAAAGAACTCAAAACACTTTGTTGTACATTTGCTTGTCGACAAACTAATGGGCGAATCGTGCAGTCAAGTAATGTCTTGCTATCTAAAAGATGAGCCTAAACCTTGTTTGGGTAATTGAATAGATGCTTTTGAAATAATAAATTGATTACCATTTCTGCATCACCTAAAGGTTGGATAGACCGGTAGAGAACGCCCTTGGCACTAAGACCTATGTGCAATTTGATACGCATGATGCTTAAATAAACAGGTAAACGCGCCTTAGCCAATTGTAGATTACTTAGCTTAATTTTCTGGTAGTATTATTAGGTACAGTCAGCAAAAAAAAAACGATGATCATATACAGATCATGACTGCACGGTTATCGCGGTGGCTAGGCAACTGGCTGCCGCATGATGGGTCGCGGGTTCAATTCCCGCACGGAACAATTATTTGTGTGGTCTGGGTGTGATGTGTCTGTGAAATTGTTTGTTTTTAACGCACCCACGACACAGGAGAAAATCTTAGTTTAGGGCAATGTTTTTAAATAAAACTTAGAACAGATTTTCAAAAGCACTGTACACTAATTTACTACCCATAAATCGCTCTACAAAATATATAAGGAGCCAGTATTGAATAAACATCATTAATGTTCAAAATTAACTGAACACTACTCGTCAAAGGTCACCATACACCGTTTGGTCAAAAATTGCTAACCATTCTAATGCCCAAAAATATCATAACATTCGGTTTCACAAAAGTCGCTCAACAATATGAAATGCTTGTTTTGGCTATCAAATCAAAATACTTTTATGTATTATGATCAAATTACTTAAGACTTAACACGTATAAAATCATCATTATCATCATCATAAGCCTTTAAGTGCCTACCGCTGAACAAAAGCCTTCGTCATCTTAATTCGTCAAGTCTCGTACCTACACTTCTTTCCAGGTCAACACAAAAGGTTAATCAGAGAATTTTTTGTCCAGATCTTTGCAGTCACGATCGCTCATGGGGATACTTCGTGGAAGCCCTCGCCTCGCCGACGGCTTTCGTGGCGGTAGGAGCAGCCAACTACAGTGATTGGGTCACCCATGGTGGTGACATCAACCGCGCCATCTATCTGGGAGACCTGACGAGTACACAGTGAGTTTGCAAATTTAATGTTACCAGTATCGACGTACAACAGAACACCAGTAATAAGGCCCTAAGCGTAGTATTTTTTTTATCTGGTGGGTACCTATAAAACCAGACGGATTACCTGATGGTAAGCAGACGGCGCCGCCTATGGCTACTTGTAACACCAAAGGAGTGCGTGCCAGCCTTTTAGGAATTGATTAAGAGATTTACGGATTGGGAAGGTATGGAGAGAAAAAGGATTGAGGCTCCGAGAACCTCACTCTCACGGCGCAACACAACGCTGTGGTTTTCGCAATCGTTCGGTTTTCTGTAGTTTCCCAGACTTAAAATTAAAAATAAAAATAGTTAAATATAGTAAGACTTAGGTCATTCCGTCTCCTGCAATAAATTACCCGTGGGAAGTGGAAACTATTTCGTGTTTTCTTCTCCCTAACTAATATCTTCTTATTTATTTCGTTGCGCGATCTAAGACAAATTATTCATGTCGCTGGGACGCGCCGGTCTTCAGTGTTCCGGTGTTCTCAAGGTTGTATCTAGACCTGAGATCCTGGCTGACAGGAGTTGCAGCGATTTTTGAAGGATGTAGCGGGTTTGTCCGATAAAAAAAATAGTGCGTAAGTCACTAAAGTGGAATAACATACGCTAACAATATTGCACGTAATTGCGACAAAAAAAAAAACAAATCTGTTTTTGTGTTTTTAACTTAAAACGTTTTTTGTTGCACTTATGAAATTACCGCCTTAATGTTCCGTATTAAAAATACAATAAGGTAGGTGTTATTTTTTCCGTAAATAAACTTGACCTTAACTTATTCGATTTGAAGCACGGTACTCAAGTTGGCGGGCAATGCACGTAACTCTGTGTTGAAGAGGTTATTAGTGACTCAGCATTCAAAATTAATAATATAAAAAAAACTAGAAGTGTGATAATTATCTGTATGACGAGTTAGAGCCTATGCTCCGGACACATTCCATTGAATAAATTTGCAGTCATACATAATAGGTTTTTTTTATTGGATAAGTCGGTAAACAAGCTGCCGGATTACGTGATGGTGCGCAATCGGTGCTGCCCATGGACACCCGCAACACCAAAGGACTTACGAGTGCGTTGCCTGCTTTTTGGGATAAGGGTTGTGGATATTTAAGGATTGGGAAGGGATAGGGAAGGAGAAGGGATTGGGCCTCCTCACATTCAACCTCACTCACAGCCAAACACAACACTGTGGTGGTTTCACGAACGTTATCTGTGAGGCCGTGGTATCACTCGGGTCGAGCCGACCCTTTCGTGCCGAAGCATGGCTCTCCCATACTTAGGTACCTACAGTTGTCTTAAAATAGCACGGAAGATTAAATCCTTAAAGCCGTGTATCATACTACCTACTGCCGCGATTTCACTCGCTGCTCGGCACCTATTGGTCGTAGGCTGATTTTTTGTATCATCAGCCTCTAAGTGTCCTCTGCTGAGCAAAGGCCTCTTCTCACACGGAGAAGGTTTGCGCATTAATCACCACGTTTGCTCACGACGGATTGGCGATTTTAGACTTACTACTCTGTCAAGAAAGTACCGGGAAAATGTCAATAATACACAAAATGTTTGTTATTCATCTAAATTTATTTTATCACCTTCAAAGTATGCTCCTTCAGAAACGATACACTTACGCCAACGAATAATCCAATCATCGAAACTTTTTTTAAACGCTGTTTCCGGAATTGAGTTCAGTGCTGGCCGCGAATTCTCCTTTATGTCTTCTAACGATTAAAAACTGGTGCCACGAAGGGGTAATTTGAGTGTGGGAAAAAGAAAGAAGTCGGCTGGAGCCATATCTGGTGAATATGGTGGCTGCTCGATGGTGTTTGTTGAGTGTTTGGACAAAAAATCGTTTACAATGATGGCCTTGTGCGAAGGCGCATTATCGTGATGCAAAATCCAAGAATTTTCTTTCCACATTTCTGGCCTTTTTCGTCGAATTTGTTCTCTTAAACGCCGCATAACGCTCAAATAATATTCTTTATTTACCTTTTGACCTTCGGGCAAGAATTCTGAGTGCACAACACCGCGATTGTCAAAGAAAACAGTCAACATGACTTTGACTTTTGATCGACTTTGACGTGGTTTTTTCGGTTTTGGTTCAGTTGGAAGGTGCCATTCCGAAGCTTATTGACTAGTTTGCATGTCAAACTACGAGTTTGACATGCAAACTAACCCACGTCTCGTCACCAGTAACAATGCGTTTCATGAATGTTGGGTCGGTATTGACTCGTTCTAGCATGTCCTCAGCGACTTTCATGCGATTTAGTTTTTTAAGAAAATTCAGGTCTTTTGGGCCTAGCCGAGCGGCAACACGTTTCATACCCAAATTATTTGTTAAAATGGTACGGATCGACTCGTGAGATACAGAAAGTTCGGCGGCCATCTCTCTCAAACTTGAATGAGGATTTTCAGTCACTATTTCCTTCACTTTTGCGATGTTAACTTCAGTTGCAGACGTTGATGGCCTACCAGAACGAGGCAAATCTTCCATCACATCTCGACCGCTTTTGAACGCTTTGTACCACTCATAAGCACGTGTTTTTGATAAAGTCGATTCACCGTAAGCCTTCTGTAACATTTTGAGTGCCTCCGAACACGAAATTTCATTGGCGATGCAAAATTTAAGACAAACTCTTTGTTCGATGTTTTTGTCCATTATGAAATTCGCAATACACACTAGATATTATAAAACTAAAAACAGCACTGTTTTTAATTTATATAACAGATGCAACTCAAATTCCGCGCCAAAATGGAAAACAGTTATGCCAATCTAACAACAACAAAAAAAAATCGAATTTGGAACCATAGAAAAACATTCATTCCCGATACTTTGTTGACTGAATGTATAACTTAGGAATTATAAATCCAGGTTTCCTCACGATTTTTTCCTTTACTGTGTGTCATTGGTGTCTAAATAAACATAGAAAGTAAATATAACTCGGAAAAACTAACATTGGTTTCAAAGCAGGCGCCTTAACCTCCAGGCAACCACGGCGACAAGTGCTCTGCCTAATACAAACAAAATAACATCACTCTATACTTTGTTTCAGAGCTAGAGGTAACTACTACATGAGAACAAACAGCAAATCACCGTATGCGTTGCACGCGGAAGGCATCAAACCAAACACTAATCAAGCAAGAAGTCGAAGAAACCCGTTCTTAACGAGATTCTTTCAACTTTTTTAGAACTTAATTTAATATAACGGCTAGCAGGTCAACCTAATAGTAGATACTTACTTTAATACACCTTTAACGAGATTTAAAAGTCGAAAATCAAATAATATCTTTACAAGTCGGTGAAGTACAGTGATTCTCAAATATTATTGTATAATTTATTTTATTTTTATTTTATAATGACCAGGTAATTTTCAGATTGCCTCTTCGTGACCCACATAATACTTTAAGACCAGATTAACAAACCAAATGACTGACTCACTGACCAAATACACACATGAGAATAGAAAAACTTTCATACCTAAGTTCTTTGTGGTATTGGTAGTAGAAAGTCGGCATATTTTTGCGATCGGGCTCCATTTGGGAAACGCTGGCTTGGGTTAACCTGCTGGCCGCTGTGCCTATATTAAGTACGTACTTCAATATTTGCCATAAATAAAATAAAAATGACAATTGAACCAAAAAGACAATGTGATATTCATGTAGTCTTTCAGGTATTACCTAGAAAATTATATAACTGTTACCTATCGTTACCTATGTTCATATTTTAAGTGCTAATTTGCCCTAGAATAATGGCCAATATTCTGTGTTTGTTGTACTATTAGACTGATTGAGGTATAATAAGACTAAATAATAAGACCCTTTCCGTTTGAATATGACTTAAAAGTAAGTAGTGTCAGATTTAGGGACTATTTAACAATGTCTGAGAGATAAATTTAAACATAAAATTTTGGTGATTTTTACGAACTGCAATGCTGTACTATTTATTATATACATATAAACCTTTCTCTTTTATCACTCTACTATTAAAAACCGCATCAAAATGCAATTAAAATTTAAAGATTTAAGCATACCTACAATACATTCGGATATAGGGACAGAGAAAGCGACTTTGTTTTATTCTATGTAGTGATGTGCCACATTCTGTTATCGGGAGATTATGTTTCTCTCGCAACTCCAATACTGTGTTATGTACTTTAGAAAACTAGCCCCTGAAAATATGTATCGACTTAAGTTGTTGAGGCGTAAAAATCATCATTTTAATTATTTGATTACCTATATTAAGCAGTAGCTGATATGGTTACGATGATGGTTATTTATTATGGTACAATAGACCCACATACATTCTAAAATTGTAAATAAGTACTAGAATTAAGTAGATACTTATACGTTTGTGCAAACACAAATTTTAAGAGTAGGCAAACATAAAATGTTGAAATTTTGCGAAGAAATCATAGGTCTATGAAATAAATATTTTGTGAAATTAAATAATATAAAAACATATAAGAACATCGTGTTTTATTTACAAAAAAATACTGGAAACTAACCTTATTTTAGACATTATGGTTACTTTTAAGCATCAAATAGGTTCTAAGTTAGGTTTTTTAAGACCGAGAGACCAGTTACCTGATAGTAAGCAATCGGTGCTGCCCATGGATACTCGGAGTTACTACGAGTGCCTTTCCAACCTTTTGTGGGTTATAAGGGATTTACGGTTAGGGGATTTTGGGATTGAAGATAGGGGAAGGATTGATTCTGAATGCTATGTACAGTCTGCACATTTAATAAATATACCGAACGAAAATATAAACTGATCAAAGACAAAGACAGTCATCATTTTTTGGCTACTGAGCTGAACAATAGTAACAAAACAATGGATTCATTAAACACCATTAGAATATTAGTGATCGATGTTAAACACCTAGTAATTTTAGTGTAACCGTAGCTACTGTCTCTACACTGAATCAAGATATGTAAGTATTTTCTTACCTGCATAGATATATCAGTTCAGATTGTACAAAAATAAATTGTAAAATAAATAAATAAACGACAAAATTATAATGTTTGGACATCGTTTTTTATTAAGTAGTAGTAAGTTTACAATTATAAATGCTTAGCTGCTTTTGTAAAATATAATGTAGGAACATAATCAAATTACAAGAGATAACTGTTGTAAAATATTATGCATAATACATTTGCAAAACATTATATTAATATTACAGAAGGTCAATAAGTTCTAAGATAAATAAATATGTAGACACCCTTCTAAAACTGTGAAATACAAGGAATCTTATTCGCTTTTCCTGCTATTTTGATATTTATGTTAAAAATCGTTGCACAGTCAACCACATTGTCTGGTACCCATGCAAAAAAAAAATTAAATTCAGAAATCATCCAATGACATCTAATCTCCCTAGATGGGGCGAGAAGAAAGTGTCAGGCTCTTTCTGCCTAAAATGCAATGACGTGTAATAGCCTTGATAGTGATGCGACTAAAAACCACCCCGTTTTTCTGCTCCGAAGCGGACCGCCCGCAACCCTGTTCCATGATGAGGAGAAATTTGATTTGTTAAAAAGAAATCATTTATGGTCTTATTACAAAACAAGGTTTTTCTTTAGTTTTGTTCTGAACCGTTGAGCCAGTTTTTATATTACAAATTGAAAGAAGGTGACAATAAGATTCAAAATTCAAAACCTGACTCAATGTTTTAAACCTATACTAAAGATTAATCTTGCTTTGTAATATATTTATACTAAGTTCATGTTTATTTTCTCATCTCTATACCAAGTAGTTTGGTTGACTGTACATACTAAATAGTAACAAAAAATTTTTTAACCAAAATAATAGTCGGTGCAGAATAAGCAGCTAATTATAATCATTTACACAATAACCAGTTTTATTTCTACCTAAAATAAAATAACATTCTGCCTACAAAAATAGTAATGAATAAATGCTAAATGGTTACCTGAATATATGTATTTACTTACTCATTCGTAATTAGCATACTTTTAATGTAGCTACGCTAAAAACAAATTCTTAAAGCTAGATATAGGTAGTGTTATAATATTATGAATTGTACATGTGTATTACTTGTTTTAAACAAATTATTATTCTTACAATCTTACTGAAAAAAACAATTAATATTCGAATATTAAACATACCGATTAAATGCAAAACATCAGAATTAAATAAAAATAAACTAAAAACCCTAACTATCACAATTGTCTTTATTCTTTCATAAACGGGTAAAGGTCGCGTCGTGTAAAAAGAACGCTGGGACTCTAGACTGCATAGTTGGGGCGTGGCTGGCACTGGCCGCCCAACGTGTCGCAGGCTCGAATCTCACACGGAACAATTCTTTGTGTGATCCACAAATTGTTGCTCCGGGTCTGGGTGTGCTGTGTATGTAAAATTGAATGTTTGTAAATCCTAGTGTGGGGCAACGTTTTTTAACTTTTTTTAACATTAGGCGATTTATCGGTCCCTTGACTTAAAAAGTGTGTCCTTAAAAGTGTAGATAAACTCTTTCAGGAATAACCAGTCGCCCCACAAAAACCTATATTACCGAGATTCCGGCCATTATACCTGGTTCGCAGGAGGATCTCGGAAACCTATATAGACTGGGATTAGTGCGGAATCTCCCCCTTCCCTCCTGGGACACTAGGATGGAGCCTGGCAACAAGAGAGGCAAATGACCTTCTCAAAAAGGCCGAGGAGGTATTGGAAGCGGCCGGTAACATGAAGAGGGAATGCAAGACCACCACACACGAGATCGTACAGGTCAAGAGAGCTCACTATCGGGACGTCGTGGCACTCAAAGATGAGCTCTCCTACATGCGCTCGGTTTTTCAACACAAAGAAAGAGGAAAAGGGAACACGAGAGTGGTTGGGCCACGAGACCCTTGAAGAATTCAAGTGCATTAATTAAGGAGGTCAAGACATCAAACCACAAAAACATCAAGACGAACGAATAAACAAGGATCCGTACGGCAGGTACACCGTGGGATCTTAAACGAGATTCAACGGGTGGAGGCCTGTTACACATGGTGACAGACATTACTAATGTCTCTGTAGCGGCACTATCACGTCGCTACATTACTTAGATACGATAGAGATAAGACATACATGTTAATTGTTGCACGTTTGTTAGGATAGCTAAATCTGAAAATCTCACGCATCTTCTTAGTATATAAGCACCAGCAATTAAAGTAATAAACAGACCTTAACCATCTACAGTCTCATTATTTACCTTGCCACGAAGTCTGGCAAATTGGTGACCCGACGAAGAACAATCAACATGACTCATTCACCCTGCAAATCAAGCAGCAGCCAACAAGAAGCCTTGGAGATATCAGCCGGAACCGCCATTTTATCCCGTATTCCGGAATTTTGGAGGGACCAACCCAGATTATGGTTTAAGCAACTAGAAGCCATAGTAGCACCACAGAAGCAAGGAGACGATTACAAGTACTATACGGTCATTGCAAAACTGCCAAAAGAAGAAATAATACAGGTTAGTGACCTCATTACTTGCCCACCGCCAATAGAAAAGTACAAGGCTATCAAAGAACGCCTAATCAGTTGCTATGAGGAATCAGACCAACGTCAGCTCCAAAAATTATTGTCTGAAATGGATCTCGGCGACCAGAGATTATATTGAAATGCAATCCCAAGAAAAGCAAACACAAGTAACAATCATGTCACCAAGTGACCCCCAACCATCCACAAGCGCTTGGACAAACGAAGAGGCTAGTCTCTTCGCGTTCGAGGACTTGTACGTCACCGCATGCGTTGATGAAGGAAGTCAAACCAGTGACGTAGAGCCGCAACTTTACCTCCAAAGTCTGGAGACTAGAGTGGCAAAGGCTCTCGCGTCATCTAAAGGTTTTTCCGACCTTATCGAAATCGCAGAAGCGTATGATGACGATAAGAAACTGAATATCAGGCTGAACACCACGCCTGTTAATTCAGATGAGTTTGATGCCCTGATTACCGGAATTGAGAAGAAAGATGTCGCTACGATTGACACTGAATTTGGTGTCTTCGAAGTACCGATACCTACGACTTCCGCAATTCCAAAGTATCAAAAGGTGTTAAACACAACTGCAGCAGCCGCTATTAAAACACTCCGCGATACGTCTCTCCTTATGGACTCTCGCGGCATGAATGTAGCAAAGCTCGCTCAGAAAATTAAAAGCATAAGTCAAAGAGCAGTTTCAAAGTATTCAAAGTCTCTTGATCGAAAAGATGTGATGGAGTCTATCCTGAGCGTCTTGATTATTGAGCGAATAAAAGAACGACAGCTTCAGACTATATGCAATCACTACAGCAAACCAGAGATGTGGGTTGACCCATTATCCTCGGGGCTGTGGATCATCAATCCTGATGAAAATCACCCTGCCAATTTGGCAGCTAGACAAAGGAAGGTAACTTCCGTCTATGAGTTAGATGATAATTTAACTCAAAGTCTGATCGCACTAACCTTTTCACGAAAACCGAGAGAGACTGCAGCCGCTAAGCTGAATCTATTCTCGCGTGTCAAGGGAAGTAAACGAGATGACATCAAAACAGACCCAAAGAAAGTGCTGGCAACGGTACTCTCCGAGTCTGAACTAACGCAAGCCGAAATTAAAGCTATGATATTCTCAAAGCCAAAAGAAGCTATAAATACGTGTCCACATTGTGACGTCCCTGTCGAAATTTGTGGCGTAACGTATCATAGACAATGCCCAGTCATTGAATGGTTAGTAAAGAATTTCTTCTTTAAATACGATTGCGAACACGAGGTTTTATCAACTCAAAGGGTTATATTCCTCGATCACAACCAAAGAGCCATGTTAGAGACAATCCAGCGTCACCATCGTACGCTAAACCAACCTTTTAAAATAAAAGGAGGAGCGAAATACGCAGTGATGCAGAGAGAAGGAGAATCTCTAAAGACTCTAACTACACTATCTACTAATCCGCAGTACGTTCCAGGCACAAATGAGTGGCTGGAGAAACGTCGAAGAGAGGAAGAAGCCAAAAGGCATAGATAAAGTAGTATAAGAAATGACCGCGGCCACGGCGAGTAGCATCGAGGGTACAGTCATTATAGATTTTAAGACTTTTCATTTTTAAAATTGTATTTGTATAAATTAGCATAGGGAAGTGAGATTTATGCCAACTTACTGGCCATTATTAAAACCCAATTTGATAAATTATTCCCCTTAAAACGTAAAATCATTGAATGTAAATTTGTATTCTGTGACTGGGCTACCCCCGGTATTCGTAGAAGTAGGGGAAAGTTATTTGAACTATATGGTATGAAACCATTTAATACAAGCGAAGCCTTTAGCAAGCATGTGTCCAAATATGCAAAAATATTTAAAATGGTCTGTAAGCAAGCAAAATCTCTTTACATTAGCCGTAAGATTAAGAACGCTGAAAATAAAACAAAGGCTACATGGAAAATAATTAACAATGAGACAGGCAGACATAAATTGCATAACACGGAAATTAATTTAAATACCGGAAATGGACATGTTAGTGTAAATCGGGAAGTTGCACAAGAATTTGAATTTTTTTTCAAGAATATCCCCATTGAAACTACAAAGGACTTAGAATCATCTCCGGCACTTTCAATTAGTCTTCTCAAAAGAAATATTAAAGAATGCCGTTCTGATTTCCAATTTCAGTACACAAACCCCCAATCAGTAATAAAGGCGTTTAAAGACATTAAAGTTAAGTCTACAGAGGATCTCTGGGGAATGTCTGTTGCAGTGTGTAGGGCTTTTATAGAAGCTATAGCGCCTCATTTAGCTTTAATTTATAATAGAAGTGTAGATCAGGGAGTTTTTCCAAATTTGATGAAACATAGCAAAGTAGTTCCACTGTTTAAATCTGGCGATGATACCGATCCTAATAATTATAGGCCGGTATCTATTTTACCGGTGCTTAGTAAGGTGTTTGAAAAGCTGATGCTTTCTCAGATGCTGCGTCACTTTAACATGAATTCCATCTTTCATGATCAACAATATGGGTTCACCAAAGGTCGATGCACAACTGACGCCGGTGTAACTTTAATTAAGCGTGTTTTTGCCTCGTGGGAGGAGTCGCACGACGCTATTGGAATTTTTTGTGACCTGTCCAAGGCTTTTGATTGCGTCGAACACGAGACACTGTTGCTAAAGTTGGAACACTATGGTATTCGAGGGGCTTCACTCAATTTATTAAAATCATACCTCCAGGATAGGCAGCTTAAAGTACAGGTAAACAAAGTTAATTCTCAGGGTGCTAGCATATCTATGGGCGTACCACAGGGCTCGATATTAGGTCCTTTCCTATTTTTGGTCTACATAAATGACTTACCTCATTTATTTCAGCGAGAACCGGGAATGGTATTATTTGCTGATGACACATCGTTGATTTTTAAAATAAATAGACGGACAAATAATTATGACGAAGTAAATAATGCTATTACGAAGGTTCATAACTGGTTTACAGTTAATAATTTAGTTCTAAACGACAAAAAGACAAAGTGTATACGATTCAGTTTACCAAATGTAAAAAGTAACGAATGTGACATATTATTAAACGGCAAGAAATTGGAATTTGTAAAACAGACTACTTTTCTGGGTATAACCATAGATGAAAAACTACAATGGGGGCCCCATATCACATCTCTGGCAGGACGGTTGAGTTCTGCAGCATTTGCTGTCTGGAAGATCCGACAGCTAACAGATGTGGACACTGCAAGACTGGTGTACTTCAGCTACTTTCATAGCATTATGTCGTATGGCATCTTGTTGTGGGGACAGGCTGCTGACATTGAGTCTATATTTGTCTTGCAAAAGCGTGCAATCAGAGCAATTTACAACCTAAGGCTTCGCGAATCTCTTAGAGATAAATTTAAAGAGATCAATATTATGACTGTGCCCGGTCAGTTTATTTATGAAAATATAATGTATGTTAGGAAACACTTAATATTATTTGATAAGGTATCAGACAGACATAATTACCAAACTAGACATAGAGATAGATTGTGTCAGCCATTATTTAGATTGGCAAAGGTACACAAGTCGTTCATGGGATTCTGCGTTAAGTGTTATAACAAAATCCCAGGCGAAATACAACAATTAAATGAAAGAAATTTTAAATTATGTATTAAGAAAACTTTGTGTAAAAAAGCATATTACAAACTGAGTGATTATATTGAGGATAAGGATGCTTGGAGACGGGCTGGTCCTGCTCCACAGGATAATATACCTACACGAATATAAATAATGTTCCAGTGGATCTTTGCTTGAACGGAAGTTCTTAGATTTTGTAAATTTGTAACCATGCTATTTTTATTGTTAAACTTGATAAATTTGTAAATGTGAGTGCCCTGTAACCTATTAAAATTAGTTAGACTAGCAGAATGTCGGTCCATATGTCAGCTTGGAGTTGTCATGCTCACTCAAAGGTCACATTGGCGGTGGCACGGTCACTGGATCGCTCGATTCCCTATATTATGGTTGAGTTGGGCGATGCTGGTGTACGTGTCATGCTCGTGAACGGGCGCCGTCAATTGGGACTGGTCAGCTCCGGACTGTCTATTGTCCTTAAGGTTATTTTCTTTTTATGTTTCTCTGTATACACGCGTTACACTGTTCTCACATATTCAAACTAACTAAATAATGTATCAAAGAATGTTTATGTGACACTGATTTTAAAAGAGTAACCATGGAGTTTCTTGCTCGTTCTTCTCCATCGGAATCTACACTTTGGAACGAGCGAATAGCTTCACTAAGAGGACTGACCGACAGACTGACACTTTGTATCTTTAAAGTTGTGTTGACGTTCAAAAGTGCCTGTATGGGTCTAATTGAAATAAATAATTTTGACTTTTTGACTTTTCAGAAACCATCACATCTTCTGCGCAAGATGCGGACCCTGAGTAACGGAAATATCAGCGACGAAACCATCAAACTTCTATGGTTGAGGCTTCTGCCACCATCAGTGACTTCGGTTCTAGCAGTCACAGAAGACATAGATGTGAACAAGATGAGCCAGATCGCGGACAAGATATTAATAAATTCAACACGTACAGAGGTGTCAGCTGTAAACGGAAACAAATCTGGCGACGATACAATGTCATGCATACTAGCACAGTTAGCAGAAATGCAATTGGAACTAAATGCAATTCAGCAAGGTCAAAAAAACTATCGACGCAGCACTCAAAGTTATTCCAATCATCGGCATTTCCTACCACAGTCGAGTTCAAGAGAAAGAAGGCACTTTTGTTTTTACCATGGAAGATTTAAAAAATATGCACAAAAGTGTGTTCAACCTTGTGATTGGAAACAGGATCTCAACTCAAGGAAACAGGGAAACTAATTGAAGCACGGACAACGGCGGAACTCTGTGCTATTCACCCGTCCAACCGCCTCACTATTACCGACCGAAAAAGTGGTATGAGATTTTTGATTGACACGGGAGCAAATATTTCAGTTATTAGCAAGCCACAGAGACATTCACTAATACAAGATGAACAATGTATACTTTATGCCGCCAATGGTACAAAAATTAAGACATATGGTGAAAAAACACTCTCTTTAAACTTCGGGCTACGAAGAAACTTTGTATGGAACTTTGTCATCGCCGATGTAACACAACCGATTATTGGAGCAGATTTTTTAGAGCATTATAAGCTATTAGTCGATATAGCTGGTCGAAAACTCATAGATAGGGTAACTGAGCTGACAACGCCCGCAACCCTGATCAAATCGACGCAGCAAACAATCCGCACTATTAACATTGAGACGAATCCACGCATTACTCAACTATTAAATGAATACGAGGATATTACGAAACCAGCCTCCTTCCACACTACTCCAAAACACAAGATTAAGCATCATATTATCACTAAAGGACCACCGGTATCAGCACGTGCAAGACCATTACCTCCTGATAAATATCATATAGCAAAGAAAGAATTTCAGACTATGATGGAGCTTGGCATTTGTCGCCCTTCGGACAGCCCATGGGCTAGTCCTTTGCACATGGTTAAGAAAAAGAACGGTGAATGGAGACCATGTGGAGATTATAGAATGCTCAATAGCGTGACTGTACCGGACAAATATCCACTTCCACGACTAACTGATTTCACTTACATACTAGAAGGGAAGCAAATCTTTTCCAAAATTGATATTCGAAAGGCGTACCACTGCATTCCTGTAGAAAATGTGGAAAAAACTGCTATTATCACTCCTTTTGGACTTTTCGAATTTCCAAAAATGCCTTTCGGTTTACGTAATGCGGCGCAAACATTCCAACGATTCATGGACTCGCTATTCAGGGATTTGGATTTCGTATTCATATTCGTCGACGATTGTCTTATAGCATCTGAAAACGAGGCTCTACATTATCAACATTTGGATACGGTTTTCAAACGTTTACATGAAAATGGATTAACAATTAATCTCGAAAAATGTGACTTTCTTAAGAGTGAAATAGATTTTCTGGGTTATCATACAACACGTCGAGGAATACGACCAACGGAGGAAAAGTACAAAGCAATTATGGAATTTCCTAAACCTACGACAATCAAGGAGCTAAGAAGATTTTTAGGAATGATCAACTTTTACAGAAACAATCTCCCTCATGCCGCTGAATATCAAACTATCTTAAACAACTACCTGCACGACTCTAAAAAGAATGATAATTCTCCAATTTCTTGGACAACAGAGGCCGAAAAAGCTTTTGATAAATGCAAGGAAAATATAATGAACGCAGTATTAACAGTTCACCCCTCTCGCACCGCCCCTTTGGCACTTATGACGGACGCCAGTTCGACCTGTGTTGGCGCAGTTCTGCAGCAGAAGTCAGGACGTAATTGGGAACCATTAGGATTCTTTTCAAAGAAATTAAGTGATACTCAACAAAAATACTCGACATTCGACAGAGAGTTGCTCGGAATATATATGGCAGTCAAACATTTTCAAAGGTTAGTCGAAGGAAGAGAATTTACTATCTTTACAGATCATCGGCCTTTGACTTACGCATTTTCCCAAAA